GCCCACTTTGCTGAGGTTAAATTAACCCAGACTTGACTCTGAAATACTTCCAAAGTAAGTGGGAAGATGTTCTTCCCAAGGAATATCTGGGACTACTGAGGTTCAAGAAAATGTCAGCTCTGGCCAGGGAGTGGATATAAGCAGACACCGCATACCAAGAGCAACTGGATATTGTACTGCACGAAGCTCTGTTTAATTCTTATCTCTTATTTCACACCAGAAATCCCCAGAGTTGAGCCACTTCCTTCCCCATTTTGATCTGTGCCAACCACACCTGGCACTCCATGCCTTCCAAACTCACATCACAGACTGTAGCCTGCATGATGGCATCAAAGCCACCCTCTGGGGCATCTCGGTTCCGTGACACACTCTGCTTCTTCACCTCCTCATTGAAGCGGGTCACCTGGTCAGTTAGCGTCAGCACATGTTTGTATCCAAACATGGGCAAACAGGCGTTCTTCATACTGGGGAGGGAAGGGAGACAATTTAAGCAGACGCTCTGATGGAAAAGGCAGCACGGGGACCAAGAGGGAAAGAGAGGGGGACAAATATAGATAGTGGTATGCCGAAGCCAGTCCCATACAACCACCATCACCCAGACAGTTCAGACTGCAAACCTCTCAAATTCCCTGTGGCATCACATCAGCCTTACCTCCAGCTAGCCTAGAGGATGATAGAGTGAGCTGTGAAACCACACTTCCTGGGTTCAAACCCCAGCTCCCCCATTATACTAGTCGTGGGACCTTCAGCAAGCCTCTCTGAACCTAACCTATGAAAGCGAGAACATGATCGCACATATCATAGGAGTAACTGAGAGGCTTGAGTGAGTTAACACACACAAAGTACTTAGACCAGAGGGAGGCTCGAGTTGTTGCTATCACTTTATGCTTAACACTTCTCTAAAGAAACAATAAAGCAAAAGTCCATCAGTAAGTTAAAGTCCCTGAACCATCAATAAATTGATAGATCATGCCAGATAGGAGCATGTTTACGTATTTAATTGATAGCTGATGTCTTTACTGGGGAACCTTACAACCCAGATAGAAGGTTAAAAGCCATAGCATATAACTTTGAAAACTAAAAGTAAATTCATATCTTGTCAGACTCAGTAACCATCATTTTAAATTATTATAATACATTGATTTGCATCTACCAATTAAATAAATAAGCCATTCACTCATAGGCCAAAGTATCAAACACAGGTATAAGTTATCAATTTACAGACTATTAAAGGGTTCAATAAATGTCATTTCCACTCTTTTGCATTCTTCTAGGACTTAATTTCTTATATTTTAACACTGCACAGCCTTGATGATAAGGACAAACAATGGAATCAATCATTCTGAAATCATAATTTCTCTGTTTACTTATCCATAAATTTCTCTCTACTTTCGATCTCATTTCCCTCCCATTCTCTCTTGCCCCCCATTTATTTGTGACCAAGACCAAGAAGCTGATAAATTCTCTTTCTAGGTCTCCCCACAGCCTTGGGCTCTATGGACACAACACTCCAGATCACAGGCTGGACCGTTTGCCAGACAGGGAGACCCAGAGAGAGGGGAGCTATGGTTTGGCCAGAAGGCAGCCAACAAGGCTACCCTAGAGCTAGAAATAGGAACCAGGACTTGGACCTGCCTGGGGCAAAGTTGAGGGGTGCCGTCCTGGCTTCTGGAGGAGGGACTTACTCATAGCAGGGGTTTCTGAGGGCCTCTGGTGGGGAGATGTACATGTA